CCCACCACCCCCCCTAAGAAGATTTATTACAGTAACTGATACCTCTTTAGATCTGCAGCAGTAACCACTGTTAACCATTCACCATCGGCCACTGTTAGGATGTGTCTTACCGCAGACGCAGTTTATTCACCTGATGTGTCCAAAGTCCCTTAGCTCTGGGACCTCAGGACCAAGGACAGGTCCTCATGGTGATACACTTATTCTCAGCACCAGCAGCCTGGTGCACATAGCTTTTGGTTCAAAGCTTCCAATGCTAAGAACTAGTGTGCATAATGTAACTGGTCATTGTATGGGAAATGATCAGTGTGTTTTCTTACATTACAGCAACCCTATGCTCTAGGTCAGGGGTAGGCAACCTTTAACACTCAAAGAGCCACTTGGACCCGTTTCACACGGAAAAAAAAATCCTGGGAGCCACAAAACCCTTTTGACATCTAAAATGAAGATAACACTGCATATATCGTTTTTTACCTTTATGCTATGTATAAAAGAACTATAGTGTGTTGCATTTATGAAATCAATGAACTGCTACAGAGAAAACACCTGCAGCAAACCAACAATGCTGTCTGCTTCTGTGTGCCGTCATCCTTTTATCGCATGTGTACTGGAGCGGTGGAGCTTACACTCTAATGTCCCTCCATAGTCACACACTATTATTATACATTTATATAGCTGACATATACCGCAGTGCTGTACAGAGAACACTGATCCAGTCTCAGTCTCTGTACAGAGGAGCTTACACTCTAATGTCCCTCCATAGTCACACACTATTATTATACATTTATATAGCTGACATATACCTCAGTGCTGTACAGAGACCACTGAGCCAGTCACAGTCTCTGTACAGAGAAGCTTACACTCTAATGTTTCCACACAGTCACATCAGTCTCTGTACAGAGGAGCTTACACTCTAATGTCCCTCCATAGTCACACACTATTATTATACATTTATACAGCTGACATATACCTCAGTGCTGTACAGAGAACACTGATCCAGTCACAGTCTCTGTACAGAGGAGCTTACACTCTAATGTTCCCCCACAGTCACATCAGTCTCTGTACAGAGGAGCTTACACTCTAATGTCCCTCCATAGTCACACACTATTATTATACATTTATATAGCTGACATATACCTCAGTGCTGTACAGAGAACACTGATCCAGTCACAGTCTCTGTACAGAGGAGCTTACACTCTAATGTTCCCCCACAGTCACATCAGTCTCTGTACAGAGGAGCTTACACTCTAATGTCCCTCCATAGTCACACACTATTATTATACATTTATATAGCTGACATATACCTCAGTGCTGTACAGAGAACACTGAGCCAGTCACAGTCTCTGTACAGAGAAGCTTACACTCTAATGTTCCCCCACAGTCAAAGTCACAATAAAGATGCTAGCATCAAAAAAGTCAAATTGGATTGTTTTGGGCCACAGACTGGAGGCTGTTCCTCGATTATGTTCCATATGTAAATGTCAAATTCAAGAGCGATGACTAAATTATGGGATTTTTTTTTAACGTGAACACTATGTGAATGTAATTTACTACCCTGTTGTTTTGTGGCCCGCTGCTGGTCTCTTCAATAAAAACATGCCTTGAACAGTTTATAATAAAGATAATTTCTCTTTTACATAAAAAAAAAAAAAAAATGTCAAATTGAAAAAGAACAAATGATGGAAGAAGACAGGGACACCACAGTGCCTTCCAGGGACTCCTTTAGGACCTACACTTACACTCTCGGCCTTCTAGGGGACACCCCAGGTTTTTTTGCACTCTCCCAGCTGGAAGCAGCGGCGGTTCCACAGAGACAGAGTGAGGGGCCGTGGCCACAATTCCTGCATAGACCGGCCCGCTAAGGCCACTAAGCAAACAGGAGGGGGTGGAGCTACACCTTCGTCTGTGGTGTGCTGAGACGAGGCCTCGACAAATGCGGAGATACCGCCCCGTTCCTCGATCACTGCATTTGTCAGATCAGTGGGCGGAATGAGCGGAGCCCCAGCAGAAGGACGAAAGAGCCGCATGCGGCTCCGGAGCCGCGGGTTGCCGACCCCTGCTCTAGGTAATCACCTAGCATCTCCTAAACTGAGTTCTTATTACCTAAAGTCCATCTCCAGGCAAAGCGTAAAGTTTATTTCCACTTTTGCAGTCTAATTTGAGAAACCTCCACTATTGTTCTGTGTTCCCATTCGCACAGCGCTCCTAAAAATATATTTTATTATATTTTTTGGCTTTAGAGCAGAATTATACAGAGGACACGACAGACAGCTTCTACTGCCTGCAATAACTGGCAATAGGGAGATAAGGGAACAGACTGAGGGACAGTTTTTTTGGGGTTTTTTTTAAGTGCATTAAAATACAACACCTTGAGAACCCTTTGTTAGGACAGACAGCCCTCCACAATTCGTTTACAACTTAAGTTTACAACTACAGTTGAGATCTACCAGCACAGTACAGACAGGGTTAATTATGGCAAAGACAATTGCCCAGCCCTCTCATAAACAGCTTTTAAGTCAAGTGAATGTAACAAATAGAAAGTAGGTGTTATCCCAATTTGGCTGCAAAAGTGGAAATACACTTTAAGTCCCCTCCTACCCACTCAGGGTTAGTTTTTATTAATCTCTGAAGTTGTACTCACCTAAGTGCACCATTCGTGGCCCTCGCTAGTACTCGTTCTGGATGCTCCAAAATGAACAAATACAAATTTAAATGGTTTACATACGAATGGTAAAAAAATCTGCAAAAAAAAAAGTTGGAGAAGCTCTTGGGATTGCAGCGCACAGATTTAACCCTTTCACTGCCACTGATGTATGGAATACCTCACTGGTAGGGGGTGCCTTTAAACAGACTCCCGGTGGCACTCTGTTTACATGTGTAAAGCTGACTGTCAACTTTACACTGGAAGCGATTCTGGCGGCTGAGTTGCCTCCAGATCAATTCCAGGGGCCGGTGAAGTGCGCGCCCACCCAACACCCCCACCTTGCTTCCCAGGCTCCGCTGCCCCTCCTGCAGGCCCCAGACCAGCGTCTCGGGTGTTGGCGGAAAGTGGGGAAGGAGACCAGCAAACATCTGTACGCCGATCTCCTTCCCGCTGTATGGGACCGAAAGAGATATCGATTGCATCACATCCAGTCCCTCAGCTGTCATTGTTTGGCTCCAGTAGGAGGGGAAAGGTGACACTAGGGGTCTAATTGACCTCTAATGTAACCTTAAAGAGTACCTGTCACCAAACATGCGTCAGGTGCGCCTACGTACGAAAACGACAATCATGCTACACATTGGATTTAATCGCAATACATACGTTAGGTATCGCCACATGCCCCATAGTGAGAGCAATAATTCTAGGGCCAATATTAAGCATCGCCTATGGACAATTTGGGGCACCGTGTTTTGTCGCCGTTTTACGTACGCGGACAATTTTTAGCCTGGGCAAGTTTGGTATCTATTTTCTTATCGTGACCTCATCTTTTATATTTTATTTAAAATATTTGGTATTATATTGTGTTTTTGGGCACTAAATAACCTAAAGTGACATTAAAGTAATTTTTTTTTCCTTCCCCCCAATGTTAATGTTAGTACTTACCTTAAATGGTGTTTCTTAATCTGATCTTCCTCTTCTTTCCTGATGTTTTCATCTGTCCCTCCAGCGGTGCGGTGGCTCTCTGATCCAGCGCTGACTCCTCTGTCCTTGCTGGTACTTCCTGTCCCACGGTGTCTGCATGCAGGTGCACCCGCCTATAGGCTTACCTTGCGTCTCTGCTCGTCTCCCGGCCGAGAATCCGAACTGTGCATGCACCCGCCCCGAGATGCTTTGCGGCCGCCCGAGCACTTTCGGATTTTCTGACGGGAGCGCTCGGCGAAGACGGGGTAAGTGTAAACCCCTGTTAAAGCGTGTTTTAAAAAAAAAACTTTTTGCATAGATCTACTGCTTGCTAGCAGTAGATCTATGCAAAAAAAACGGAGGGTTTAGAAACCCTTTAAGTTTATTTTTTACAAAACGTTCGGGTTTGATAAAGAGTTGCGCTAATATTGTGCGAAGTAAACATTTGCAAACTGCCACCATTTTATTCTACAGGGTATGATATCAAGTGAAATCAGGTACTTTCTGTACACTTGTATTTAAAAGACATACAGTACATGTAATGGTGTATTAAGGATCAGCGAACTACATTAAAGCAACACTACAGGTAAAACTTTTCTTAACTCTTACAGTGGGGCTACCCCCGCAGTGCAAGGCTAAATTGCTCGTATTTATCTAGGTTCAAAAATAACAAAGATATGCTCAATAACAAAGATATACCTTAAAAGCCCCCAGTGCCTTCCAATATTTAGAGATATACCCACCAGATCCTAGGAGCTGCCTGGCTGTAACAGCGCTCCCTCCTGCCGGCCTCCTCCGCTGCAGCGATGGAATGTTCCTCGGTGTCCTTATGTCCTATTCCTTAGACCATGATGGCCCAGGGACCTTAGACCGCTGCATTGGAGGGGGAGTGAGGCAGAAGGGACCAGTCTGAGTTAATCGGCTCCGAAGATCTAGTGAGTATAACTTTTGTATTTTTGAACCTAGACAAAAAGAGCAGTTAGCCCTTGCAGTGCGGAGGTAGCCCCACTGCAAGGGTTAAGAAAAAGTTTACCTGGAGTTTTGCTTTAATCTGTCTTTTATATTTGCCTGGAGTTCAGCTTTAGGAACTGACAAAAGGATGAGGATGAGAGCCGCAGAGCCTGCACATTTTAGAACAGGTCATCAGTGATGGCTCCCATATATCTATTTTGACAGGTGCTCTTTAAGATAAATGATGTCAACTTTCTGACTTCATTTCAGTTGCAGCATTTCTTTGATGGCGATTCCAGTCTATTGAATGATTTCATGTGCTGCCTGGTGTTGCTGTTTTACAATATCAGTGTGACTGAAAGAACAATGTTTGCTCTGTCATCAGTATTGAATAAATATTTACACTGTAAGGAAAAACTAACTCCTAATTTTCATCATTGCTTTACAGACAACTCATCCACATGAATTACACAGAGACCCATTACAGCCCCAGTGACATTCCTATAATTCAGAAACCCAATGTGACGGTATGATATGGTGTACCATCCACAGTGCTATCTTTATGCATGTTCCTTTATTATACAGATGATGAAGAATATTCATAGTTCAATGTTTGTACTTTGTGTTATTGTGTGCTTTGCTGGATCTTTATCTAGCCCAGGGGTGGGCAAACTCCGGCCCTCCAGCTGTTGTCGAACTACAAATCCCATGAGGCATTGCAAGATTCTCATAGACATGGCATGGGGGCCAGAGTTTGCCCAGCCCTCATCTAGCCAATAATATTACTTCAACAATTTGCATCTGAACTTGCCCCAAAACCTAACTCTGTGTATACAGTGTATATATGTCCAGCCAAAACTGCTTTTTTGAGTGGTAAAGTATTAGAACCCCTGTCAGATTTTTACTACTGTTTGGTTCTTTGTTAAAGGAGAACTATGGGGTTAGGGCTTTTCCCCATAGTTCTCATGTTTGGCTTCTGAGCTGTTATTCTCTGGCTACAGAAGTTGATTAAGCATGACCTGTGCTTGATCAGCTTCATTGAAGTGCAATGGTGACATTAGGGGTCTAATAAACCCCTAATGTCACCTTAAAGTGCACCTGTCACCTCCAATGTGCTATCACATAGGGGGCTTGTGAGTAATTTCTGGAGTCAACGCAGTAAGGAATTGGCTGGCTGGAACGAATGAAAAAAAGTTAAAAACAAGTTGTTTTTTTATTTTTAACAAAAAAAATAACATCGCTTGATACACACCCACATTAGCAAACTAAATGTCATTCACTTAGGGTTTACTTCCACTCTAAATTGGAGGTTAGATATCCAGGGGACCCTAAAATAACTTTGCTATGTGGCTTTGTCCTGTATAGCCAGCCCCTTGCTGCGTTTATATATACTACAGCTTGTATTTTAGGTTCCCTGGTCCTCAGCAGCCGTCTACTCACCCCGAGTGACCAGCAATATCCTTCACCAAATGCAATTATTTGCATTCAGCTGATTTATCTCCACTGTCTTTCCTTCTGTTCTACATCAAAACATGGCAGGCACAGGACGTCCCGCTTTATGTGCGGTTTGTTTTATCCATAATGCTAGCTCAGTGTGTTTTCTTTTTGCTGTTGCACCATTTCCTACCTCAGATAAACTCGTGTCCCATTTTGGTTTGACCTGCAATTCCTCACTTTGCTTCCTGACCCACTTGGCAAGGCCTCGGGGTAAACCATTTTGGGAAGTAGGTCAAGAGTGAAAAGATGCCACTTTGTGCCACTGGCCCGGGGTTATTTGGGCCTGCACAATGCACAGGATTTCATATTTATTTATAGACCATACAGATACGAGCTGTCACATGACTGATAGAGAGGTCGGAGGAGGACAGATGTGGTCAGATGCACAAGCCTTGCTGTTTATACAGATGCTCGGAGGATGCAGATATTTACTGGCAGATGCATATTACACTCATTAGTTAACAGGCTGCGAAACATCAGAGTATTTATCTGTTTATGCTCTGGGGCAGAGGGGCTCTGGTGCTTGTATACATGTATCAGCTGTATATTTGAAACTTTACATTTTAGAATGCATTAATGGAAAACAAAGGCTGAATTCAAGCACATTATCATGACTGCATTCATTCTAACACTCCATGCCGGGTTATGAAAATATAGATTTTAAGTTAAAGTGATATTAAAGTTAAAAGGATTTTAGGATATTTTAAATGCTGATGAAATTACTTACAATGGATGCTGCTTCTTGATAGTTTCCTGCAGAATCAGCTGATCCCCTGATATCCTGTTTCAGGGTGTCTGCTTTCCCTTGCAGGGACCTATGAAGCAACCCTTGTGTGTGCTGATAACAGGGCCATACCTATAATGAGACAGCCGGAGGCCATTGCTTCAGGTGGCATCTCTTTGGGTCATGTGGGAATCGGCAGGCAGAGCAGCCACTCTGTTGCACAATGTTTGCACTGCCCCTGCCACCCACTTTTTGGTCACAGTGTACCGGTTTGCTAAGACCTGGGCAGGGAGATGTGTAAGAGCCATATACATTTCCCAACCCAGCTCTTAGCAACATGGGCTGCTCTGGCTGGCATCCCGCTCAGCTCCTGGCAACCAAGAGGATGAATATATTCATAAAACCTGTACTAGAAATATGTGTTTCTACGTTCGCAAAGCAGTAATTATACTGGAGGACTATGAGGGCCGGTTCACACCATGAAGAGTGCATTTCAGAGCATTCTGCCTCTGGAACGCACTGGAACGCAACCCGGCTGGCTCCCTGCGTTCAGGGGCGGGAGGGGGCATGGTGGTACATTGAAGTCAATGACACTGCAGCCACTCCCCTCGCCCGCAGTGCGATCGCCGTCACCCCAACACGTGGCATATTGGTGCCTGCGCTCTGGTCCAGTGTGATCTGCAAAAATAGTGCATGCAGCATTTTTGCAGATCGCACTAGACCGGAACTCAGGCACTAAGGTGCCACGCGTTCAGTGACACTGATCGCACTGCGTGGCTGTGGTAGCATTTACTTTAATGCACCTCTACGCCCCCTCCCGCCCCTGAATGCAGGGAACTGGCCGGTTTGCGTTCCAGTGGCTGAACGCTCTTGAACGCACTCTTCGTGGTGTGAACCGGCCCTCAGCCCCCTTTTATGCCAACCTATTGAAATTGATCAACGAGGTGCTGCCAAAATACAAACGAATCTACCTAAGTTGTGCATGCCTGGGGAAATTGACTGAGACTGTGGATCCCCGGTACAAGCAACAAAGACTTTCTTCTGCTTTAGCTTGAGGGACGCTTTATCAGTTACAGGGCCAACTCAAATGGGGAACTTAAAGGACAGTGCATCTGTTTTGATGTTTTACTGTACACTTGTTCAATACGGGGGTCCGTTGAATGTGGATTGAATGTGTACATTCATTTACCTGTGAATCCAAAATGCAGTGAATCCAAAAAATAAACATAAAAAAAAAGGATCAGGTGAAAAGACAGTATAAAGCTTGAAAACAGAAAACTAATGCATCTACCACATCTACTGAGATACAATATATTACATTTTTTGGGGGAGGGGGGTGTTAAATAAGCTTTAAGCAAGAAATTATTATTTGCTAAGTGTAATGTTGTATTTCTTTTAAGAAATATATGGGAATAATCATTCTCATTCCCTTTTTGCCCACAATGGGTACACTTTTGTTAGTGTATATAGATAGTTAACTTTTTCAATAATCGATTATAATCGATTATGTCGATTAGTTGTTGCAGCCCTAGTTAAGTCATATTTTATGTTAAATCTAAAATTTCCCCTCCTCCACTATAGGAAGATATTGGTAATATAATCCCCTTTACACCACCATTATTGCATTTCTATGATAGGAACACATATTGATTGGCAATAGATATTCATATATAAATTGACATTTATCAGGATGATCCTAGATGTGGCTGAAGATGATAATGTATATAAAATAACAGTACACATTGCAAGACAGACCTAAGAAAAAAACATGAAATACCTAATAATGATCATTACATGGCATCATGATCAGTTCACATTAAAGGATTTGCCATAACACTCTTTATTAACAGCAGCTAAAGCTGGCTATACACGAGTACAATTTTAAAAAACAATCATTTTCAGAACATTCGATTCTCTATTATTTAATGGAGTTGAATTGACAATTGATTTTGACCATAGTGATGAAAAAAAATAAAAGGATCAGGACAGAAATTTTTCCTGCATGAATGAAATTCTAACAGTGAATGTGGTTTCGTTCAAGAAACTCCATCCTCTTGATCCGATCATCTTCTTCATTCCACTCGTTTCCGACAGTCCCTCCAGCACTGGTGCCGATCTCTGATCCACCGCAGACTCCTCGGGTGCCAGAGTGTCTGTCCGACATGCGCGCTCCCACCTGCCATTAAGTTTCGTTTTCTCTCCTTTCTCCTGCACACTACTGCGCGTGCACCCACACACTTCTTCTTCACAGCCGTTCGGGAGCTGGAATTGCTTCAGCCGGGAGCAAGCGGCGCTGACACAGGTAAGTCATTTGTCTAATTTTGTTTTTTAAATCATGGGGCATATACTGTATCTAGTGTTTGCTAGCAGTAGATACTCAGTATGCCAAAAAACAAGAGACTTTAATGCTACTTTAAAATCAAACAACATTCTTCAAGTCTCTGATGGCATTATCGAATGTTCTGAAGAGATATTTCCTACAAAAGTTTATTCGAAAATCTACCAGTGTATAACCAGCTTAAGGCCTAGTGTACACAAACTGGCTGGTAATCACTAGTAGGCATTACATTGTAGTTAAAGTGACAATAAACTCAGAAATTAAACCTTAAAAATACATTCAAGTACCCTAACTATTAACAAAAATGTATCTTATTTGTGTATCACTCAGCTGTAGATCCTCAAATCATCTTTGCATTCATGCTGACACTCCTTCCTTATGGAGGGTGGCTATTTTTGTTCCCCATGGTCCCTGTGTGTTGTAAAGTAGTCACCGCTCCAAGCTCATTCCCATAATGGACTACAATCTCAATCCAAATGAGTAAACTAAATGTGAGATTGTAGTCCATCACAGGAGGGAGCATGGAGTGGTAGCTACTTTACAACACACACATGGACCATGGGGAACAAAAGTCGCCACCCTCCAGAAGGAAGGACAGTGTCAGCATCAATTCAGAGATGATTTGAGGATCTACAGATGACTGATAAACAAATATGATACATTTTGTTAAAGGAGAACTATGGGGTTAGGGCTTTCCCCCATAGTTCTCCTAAGGGTAACGGGAGGACACAACTAGAGTCCTCCCGTCACCCTAAGCTCAGTATAACGAGAGCTACAGCTCGTGGTATACTGAGACGCTGCAGCTGGAACGGATTCCGACAATTCTATCTGGATCCACCCAGCTGCATGAGTGACAACCGGCTCTGCCTATCTAGAGGCAGAGCCAGCTGTACCCGCCCCCTCCCCCATCCGTTCCGCCAGTCAGCACTGGAGGATCGGACAGGGGAGGGGGGAATCCAGTCCTTCCCCTGACATGGCTCTCTGCAGCGATAGGATCGAGAAGTGAGCGAACGCCGGTATGTGTTCACTCACTTCCCGATCTACTGAGCCGACCTGTGACAGTCTCATTGTCACAGGTCGGCTAGAACTATGAGGATGTGTGAAAATCACTCATCTCATGGTTCTCCTTTAATAGTTAAGATACTTGAATGCATTTTCAAGATTTAACTTCTGATTTTAGTGTCACTTGAATCTGAGTACTGAGTTCGCCACTGCAGCCAGATACTAAAGAGTACTTTACAGAGTAACTGGGAGTATACTTTTTAAAGCTTTGTGATTTGTAACTGCCTCTCTCTGCTTCCTGTATCTAAATTTCTCAATTTTTGGTGACACGTATTTGAGGAAATAAAATATAATCTGATAGGTGACATTTTTTGTTGATAGTTAAGATACTTGAATGCATTTTAAAGATTTAACTCCTGAGTTTAGTGTCACTTTAAGCTTGATGAAGGTCTGCTGAAATCCACTTGGATCTCACAGCTACTGCACACTGCATAGTCATTGCTCTGTGCACTCATTGTATTTATGGAATAAACCCATTAGACTCAGAATACCAGTGTTCACAGACCCAAGACCTGTGGATTACCACCACTTCTAATGGGGCTCCCAGGCTTGCAAAGACTGGAGGCTTCGGTTATTCAAAAAGGAACCAATTTTTTAAAGATTGATCATCAAAGAAATGTCCTTTTAAGTATATGATTGCTTCTGACAGAGAACTACACTGATAGATTTTAGGTCGTTTAAGGTCTCTGCAAGCTGTGATAAGCCTCTGGGAAATTTTCATAAAGCACAACTGCGTCTTTGTCCCTTGCACTGCATCCCCATTCCGCTCATTGTGTTCAGTGTATGATTGCTCCCCAGCACAGCAGAAAGGGTTAACTCGCAACCAGTGAGATCATCAAGTTACCCAGGAAGCTGAGAATGGGGTGCAGGGGAGAGGAAATGAGGATGGGTATATAAGAATGCTGGACTGAAAGGGCCCAATGTTCAGTGTCTCATTGTGTCTACATCCTCTGCCTTAACTGAATTCACTTTGACCAGAAGCATCTATCTTGTATGACTGTACAGAGTCTGCTTGATGTTATTGCAAAGGGCCTGTTTATATTACTGATAAATAATTACAGGAGAGCAGACTGATGTGCTGCGTGTTTAAAGTATATCTACATCCAAAGGTTTTGGATAGAATGGGGGAGGGTGGGTATCTCTATCAGTTTTTTAACAGCTGTCTGTGTCTCCCACTGGGTGGATTTACCTTCATGTTTTGTTCTGGTGACCATTGCCACCCAGACATAAAGAAATTGAAGCTTGCTATACCAGGGATCCCAACCTGAAAAAAAGTCATTTCAGGGTGGTGCCCTTCTCATTTCAGGGAGGTGCCACCTGTCAACCCCCCCCTTCCCAACATTTCAGGGGGGGTGCAACAACAAGGAAGAGAGCACCCCCCTGAAATGATGGCAGATAGCAAAGACGCTTCCCTTGCTATCTACTGTCTACTTTTTTTTAGTATTCTGACAGCTGCTGTCAGAATAAAAAAAGAAATCGGCATAAGAATGAATAGCTAGATTGCTATTGGCTATTTCAATTTGCAATTCGATGGAGAACGTCAGGTTCACCTCTGCTGATTGATAGCAGCAGTGGGCGGGTGCAATACCTAGTCTGCTATTGGCTATTTCAAATAGCCAATAGCAATCTAGCTATTCTTTCCTATGCCGTTTTTTTTTTCTGCGGCTGGCGGCCCCGACGTCAGAAAAAAACCCCCATCAGGGAAAGGTTTACTCTGCTAGATTGAACAGAGTAAACCTTTCCGGGAGAAAATGTTTCTCTCCCGGGAGACGCTATCTAATAGCGGGAGACTCCCGAAAAACATCTGGGAGAGTTGAGATGTCTGCTATACACAGATCGATTTTTGGCTGTTTCTTGCTAATTCAGCCAAACTTCAATCCATGGTATGCCCAGCCAGCGGAAAATTGTTGACCAAACAGTGACTGCAAGCAATCAGTCAAGCCTTCAGTCCCTGCAGACCTGACAAACTTTAATCTGAAAATCGAAGGTGCCAGGTAGAAAATTGTCAGCCGATCAGTGAGTACAGCCAGTCAGCTGCAGCCACTGTTTGGCCAACAATTTTTTGCTGGCCGGGCTTCCCACTGAGCGCATTTTGGCTACGTTAGTAAAGGAACCGACAGTGGAGATTCCTCCATCCATTCCTCCATCCCGTTTAGCATGCATGGGAGAATTGAGTGATTTTTCTTTGTCAGCCATCTGGGCTTAACAAGACAAATCGTTAGGCGCATGGAAAGCTGTGCAGTTATCACCAGAACAGAGGTAATGTTAATCCTCCAGCGAAGGAACATGTTTCAGTGACACCTGTCCAAGAGAGGAATTCCCCCTACTTTGCAGAGATTTATTCTCCTGTTGCATGGCCAGGTGGGGGATTCAGCTTGTTCGTCATTGTGACCATTGTCATCAGGACAGACAGTGGCAAGGAAAATGGAAACATTTTTAGGGTTGTCAGTGGCCTGGTTCACACTGAGCTTTTTGTAACACTTTTTCTGCCCTAAAAAATATGTCCCCCCCCCAAAAAAATAATCCCATTCAGTTCTACTTCCCTGTTCACATCTGAGCGTTTTGTTGCAATAAGCAAAATGCCTGTCTCTGGAAAAAGTACAGGAGCTTTTTTTATTTGGCATACTACTGCTCACAAAAACGTGCATCAAAAACGCTCATAGAAACTAGCAAAAACGCTGTCGCCTAGGTGTGAACCCAGGTGAGGGAACATCTTTTATAGAGGATCACTGACCTGCTACAACTGTCTTAAGAGAGGATTTACTTTTCTATTGTGTTTCCAAGGCAGGAAGTTAAAATAAATCTCCCTTACCACGCTGAGTACGTCTACTACTACATCTGGTACTTTGGCTGCAAAACACACATGGTGCACCCCAATACACAGCTGCATGTATGACCTTATTCTAAGATCTAGTGGCAATTGGGCAAAGTAGCTCCATTTGAAGGAATCTCAGTATTGTTTCAGCGCTGATGAATGGGCATTCTTCCTGTCCCCTGAAATGTGTTGACACCTGTCTTTTATAGAATACATTGCACTTTGAATATACATTCACCTCCATTTGTGGTGGATTTTCTTTCAGACTGTCTCTCCCTCTACTAGAAAGTATGTGCAGCCTGAACAGAGCAGGAAGATGGGGCTAAATTACTGCTCTGACTTATTTTAATTGTTTATGTAGTTTGAACATGAGCCATAATCGAAGCAGTTACAGTTAACCTGGGAAACCTGTCAAAAGGAGCCTAGACTTCCACCTTCTGGCTGAAAATGTATAAAATATACACTGCCTTGCCAAAAAAAAAGTCACACACTCTTATATTTAATTGGACCGCCTTTAGCTTTGATTACAGAATCAATTTGCCATTGCATCATTTCGATAAGCTTATGCAATGTCAGAACATTTATTTCCATCCGGAGTCGCATTTATTTTTCACTAAAATCTTGTAGTGATGATGGGAGAGTCAGACCACAGTGTAAAGTCTTCTCCAGCACATCCCAAAGATTCTCCATGGGGTTCAGGTCTGGACTCTGTGGTGGCCAATCCATGTGTGAAAATGATGTCTCATGCTGCCTGCCCATGCCATCAGGGACGAAAAAATCCATTGATGGAAAACCTGGTCATTCAATATATGCAGGTAGGCATCTGACCTCATTTTTTGGGCACATAACGTTGCTGGACCTAGTAATTATCCAATGGAAGGCTCTGACCTATTAGCTCAGCTAAATACCGGTGGTGACTTTTTTTGCCTAGGCAGTGTATTTGTGTGCAGTTTAATACTTACCTTACCTTATTTTTTTTTTGTAGTGCCAGGTAGTCAGAATATAAAACATGTAAATAATATTAATTTACTATTTCATATATGAATTTAAGTTCACATTTTCAGCACTTCAGAGAGTAAATGCACTGTTTCCATAAGTTGGTGACCCCAACAGAGCTTACAATCTATAGGCAAACCCCCCCCCCTCATTCCCTTTCGTCATTTGGTCTGGAAAAGGTGAAGGAAACCTGTACTGAGATAATAGGATTGATTTAATAAAGGAGTAAAGACTATTCACTTACAAATGTGAATGTGCACTGAGCTTATACTGAGCCGTAAATACGGTAAAGCTGTGTTTATGTGAGTCATCCACTCTAGTTATTGCACATGATTGGGCATTAAAATTGAACACAGCTTCAACCAATTTATTTACTGAACGGTACAGAGATCTACCTAAATGGTTTTGGGATTTTGGAACAAACCTCTGCATGAAACTTGCCTCTTTATAATAATCTATTTTAATACTGTGCTGTATATTTAATGCCTTTCTGACAGCAATTCCTTTCTTTGTACTGACTGGCTGATCTGATTTTAGGACCACTGCTATTACCACGGAGCTGTTCACGGGCAGAAAGACTCCAGTGTAGCAGTCAGCACCTGCTCAGGAATAAGGTACACAGACAGTCTTCTCTTCTTACTGGTAAATATACTTACTTGTGGAAAAGGCAATGGAAAGCCTCCCCTAGAGGTTTAGCCAATGCCCATGGGGTCCTTGGATTGATCAATGAACCCTTCTACTCCCAGCCATTTCAGCTTCAGACCTTCTTTCTCCGCTTAGCTCTGTCCCCTTTTTATATTCTATCTCATAAGGGGTCTCCTCTTCTGCTGGGTTTTAGACACCTGTACATTCTGAAAATTGACTGCTTTTTTAACTATCAGGTGGCTTATAAAAGTTTGTGTTGTCATTTCTCTAAATACATTTGCTACTGTTTACTTGGGATCTTAACTCCGTTTTACCCATTTCAGACCTTGATGATACACTACTAACCTCCCTTAAAATATACATTGCTTTATATCAATCTCAGCAATCCCACCTTCACTGGTCATCCTCATCACTTTAGACATACGAGTCCTACCTCTCACTGCCTGTGTTTGCTGAGGACCAGGCACATACCTCAACTGCAGCCTACAGCGGTTTTTAACATCCTGACCCTATCAATGAGCTGGCGGAGTAAGAGCTTCCCATAGTCTTCCATGAGACCACATCCTGAGGCTAGAGATGCTTCGGAGACAGCCCTATAGAAGTCTATGGGGCACTAGTGTGCAGGATAGTTTAGGTCTGGGGGAAGGGAGGTTGAGTGCACTCTGCTTAAAAGTGCACTAAAGCCCATTTTACATAGGCAGCATCCGTTGTGAAATGCAGGGGATCCATGAACAGAGGAACAGATCCCCTGTTGGATCTGAGCAGAATGGAATGGATGTTACGTTTGTGACATCTCTGTCCGTTACGTTTTTTCCTCTATCGTGCTGTGGAGGGGAAAAATGAACTAAACTGACCCATTATAGGTCTATGGGCAGTCAGATGTGAGCAGAAAACTGTGAACTGTGTACTTTTACATCCAGTCACCTCCAATCCATCATGATTAGGTCCAATAAAATGGAGAAGGACCCAAACCTAATTTTTTTTGAGTGGAAATGCATGTAAACAGAGATGCTTGTTGACATCCGGCTGCCCAACGGGTTGCACTGTTTTCCATTCAGATGCGCCTCAAAAGCTGACAGGTGGATCTGATCGGAAAGGGTCCTTAAATTGCAGCCACCTAGCAGCCATTTCTTTAATAAAACCTCATGTTAATTCTTTCTCTTTTACCGGCTTCACTCAAATATTGGCTCCTGTCAAGTATCTGTCTGTAGAGTGGTGTTACAGGCAATGGTCTTGGGATGGGAGTTTCAGGAAAACATGTTCAGCCCACTTGGTAACACCTACTACACGCTCTATAAATTAAATGCAGCGATGGGAACGTGGTGGAGGTTGCTATCCTGCTTGGGCTGTCAATAGCGAAAACCCTTGGAATTTTTAGATAATAAATACATTTAATAACATTATTTGGCATATGAAATGTTAATAAAACTTTACTGGGTTGGCAGCCTATCAAGCTAAAATAAACATCATGACAACCACGCAATATGGTGTGACTGGCATGCAGGAGAAAAAATGTACTGCGTGTCCAATTGTAAATGTCATTCATGAAACGGCCTTCTTCTCTCTACAGGGGACTAATAACTGTAAGCAATAATCTAAGTTATGTGGTGGAACCACTACCAGGAGACAGCCATAGACATCTTATTTACCGAGCAGAACATCTATCCCTTCCGGGAGGGAAATGTGGACACTCAAGCAGCGAGAAGCAGAATTTTTCTAGCCTCCACAGACCTCATTACAGGGTGAGTGCTACGCAGGCTTTAGAGGCTGTCTACAATGTATGTTGTCATGAGACGGACCACAGATATAGACCTAGAGGACCACTGTGATACAAATGTAATTGGGTTCTCTTCAATGCATATTACCATCAACACACCTCTGTATCAAGAACCTGATAGTATCTGTTGGTGAATGTCTTCAGGTCTGTTGTGTTTGGGAACATATAGAAGTCTATGGAAGCATCTTAAAATGATCTACATTTTTAGATATGTAGGGATAGGGAATGGAAAGGGTTAAAAACTCCGACACATGTGTCTCCAGTGAGGATTTTGCTTTAATTCCCCATCACCTAGAGAAGAAGTTACGGGATATAGCTCAGATAGATGTAACCTTGAGAAGAACTGCTGCACTCCTTCCCGAAACTCCTTTTAGCTAAAGAGGGTGCTGTAGTAACCACGGATGGCGCCATATACATGTGCTAGTGACGTTTTCTATATAGCTCAGATAGAGACACAAACATGACATTTTTTTTCCCGATAGAATAAAGAAGGGTTCGAAACGCTAACTTATTGCAATGAGTAAAATGTCCCCTTTCTCTCATGTGACACTTGCATGTGTCAGGATGTCACCAAAATAGGAAGTGAGATGAAATCTCCCCAGTAACAATGTAAACAGTAATACAATCCAACAGAGGTTCTAAAGCCCACCCCACACATTATAATCTGATTGTACAGTCTTAAAGGGTCATTCCACTTTTCCAGGCAAATTTAGAAAAATGGAATTCCCTCCACCAATCTGCCCCCTCTTCCCCTGCCGCTGCTCTTACCTTTAACTGAACGCTCCTTCCCCTCTGCTGCTGGTGGTGTACTATCTGTACTCTGTACACAGCAGCACAGCCCTGTTCACGGTATTTCAAATTACGCTGGCAAATGGAGAGCGCTCATTGGTCAGCATGGTCAGAAGCGCTTCTTATTGGTCAGGTGACCATGCTGACCAATTATTGTAATTATGCAAGCGCTTGAGCATGAGAGGGAGGTTGCACATCCCAAAATGTTGTGCCCTGCAGCACTGGAAGGCTTCTATGAAGCCTTTTAAATATGTATGCTGGGGGTGATATATTCCTCTTATTTAGTTAAACGCAGATGACTTTATTCTAACACAGTTGCAGTGTTTCCTGGATAGCCTTGCAGTATACTTATTGTCCTCATTGCCTGAATGCAACTCTTACAAAATATTTCATCATTGCCTGAATGTAATGCTTAAAAATGATTTCATCATTATACCAGCAGACATTTCTTTCTAGGGAAATACAGTATGGGATAATAACTATAGACAGAAGTTCAGCTGTTACTGTAGTAGAGACATGCCAGTATTAAATGGCAGGTCCTCTTCAGAGGAGTAGCTCTTGGTATACAAATTCTTGTACTCCTGGGTGATTATTATGAGGAGCACATGTATGATATCTTATGTTATCCTGCTCATTAGTCTATAAACTCTTCCACAGAGCTTGAGTTCCAGTTCCATGTCTGTTATGCAATGCAAAATACTTCCTTACACAGCATATCCCTTTGATTATTCACCATCTGGTGTAGCTTTACAGATGTTTGGAGTCTCCTGCAACTCCAAGGTCCAAGAGGTCTCTAAAGCTGTAACTCGGGATGTATCACATCTGTCTGTTGTATGCTTTGAATGTCATTCAATAAAAGTGCTCCCTATGGAAGGCAAGCTAATAAAGCATAGCTCATTTTTTCACATTGTTACTGATTGAGTTATGGGCGCCTGTGTGCAGAAACCTAGTAATGCTGGGCAGCTGTAAGCAGACCAGTTATAGAGGCTAGCTAAGTGACTAGCACCTTATAGGCATCTGCATGGAGTCTGCATGTGCTCTCTACATACAAGTTGTCTCTAATGTGTGTATGACTGCAGTGGGGACTTTAGACTTAAAGCGGGCCTTTACGCATATCTTTAAAATAACAACAAACACACCTTTAGAAATGTTTAGTAACGACAATCTATGTTGGCCATGTTTACTAAGGGCAGATTACTACCGTAGCTCTCCTTTTACTTCCTGGATTTCTGGCACATGTGACTAGGACATGTGACCATTTACACCATCTCAGGGGAGGAAATTGCCTTTCTCTGAGATCTCATGATTACAGATGAGATTTCCCAGCAATGCTCGGCTGATGACGAGGCAATCCCAGTGTGCATTGTGTTGGCAAACTGAAGTCATTTGCCCTTTCAGAGCAGGAAGTGAATGCTCTGCAAGTGTAAGTATTTCACAATCACATCATTTTACACCTGAAATGTCTATGTTATTATTAAAGGAGAACTATGAGGTGAGTGAAAATCACTCAACCTCATAGTTCGAGCCGACGTGTTACAATGAAACTGTCACACGTCGGCTCAATAGATCGGGAAGTGAGCGAACGCATACCGTCGATCACTTCTCGATCATCTCCCCTGTCACTCACGGCTCCCTGTAGGGATTTCCCCCCTCCCCTGTCCGATCCTCCAGCGCCGACTGGCGGAACGGATGGGGGAGGGGTGGGTACAGCTGGCTCTGCCTCTAGATAGGCAGAGCCAGCTGTCAATCACACAGCTGGGTGGATCTCGACAGTACTGTTGGGATCCGTCACGGCTGCGGCAGTCTCCGTATACCGAGAGCTGTAGCTTGCGATATACTGAGCTTTGGGTGACGGGAGGACGCTAGTTTATGTCCTCCCGTGACCCTTAGGAGAACTAAGGGGAAAAAAACTTACCCCATAGTTCTCCTTTAATCATCCTACATAGGGGCATGCATTGGTATAATTTGATTTTTGAGTGCAAAGGTCCGAAGGTTCTTTGGAGTGAAGAACTGGTGGTGGTGGTTTATTTTATTTTTTTAAGTTGTGTGGAATGTACTAAAGGGCACTTTCATATTTGTGTGGCTAAACCATGGATCAAAAGGTCCTCTGGTAAAGCCAATGCTTAGATTTGACCTGAACCATTGAATAAACTGGTCAGGTGACTATGCGTTGCTTTAAGGGTAACTGTGCTTTTTTAAAGTCACATTGCAAATTCCAATGTTAAATTCCTAGAAAGTTCGAAACCAGTCTTAAACTTCTTTTAGGGCGCAAGCATCTATTACTTTCTTTACAGTAACTTTAGTGATAATTCCCTGCACAAGTGCAGACTATGAGGTCTATTTATAAACAATTCACAGAGCCATTGGCCCTGCGAACCTCTGTGAATGTTCTCTCTGTGTGAATGGATATACAAAACAAATGTTCTGGTTATATTTTCTTTATGAGTGAAATGTGTTTTCAAAATGCCATCTTATTTTACCACATTATAGTCACTAAATGGAGCTAAGGAGCATAGGAAATTAATACGCTTCACAGCTCCATCTAGTGGTGGTAATGCAGTATTACAAGATGACATTCAAAAATACATTCAACTTATAAAGAAAATATAACAAGAATGTTCATTTTGTACATCCATTCACACAGAATAAGCATTCACAAAGATTTGCAAACATCTTTAGACTTCTTGTGAAAGGCCAGTGGGACTTTAGTGGTTGTCTAGGGCAGCCTTTCTCAACAGAATGCTGTGGCACCCTGGTGTGCCTTCTGGCTTCACCCCTGAGGGTGCCTCAAAATTTTGTGGTAGTGGGATTGTGATGTGAAGGGGGGAATGAAGACTGGTGTGAAGAGGGAACTCTGATGTGAAAGGGGGGACTCTTATATAAAAGAGTGGCTTTTAATGTAAAAAGGGGGGCTACTGATGCAAAGGGTGGATCTAATGTGAAGGGGCGGGGGGAATCTTGATTTGAAGGAGGTACTTCGATGTGAAGGGGGTAACCCACTTTTTTGTGTGTTCTTGTGTGAGGTCCCCCTTAAAATCTATGACATTTTAGTCTAGGGTGCCTTGAGAATGTGCATACTTTTAAAGGGTGCCGTGACTAAAAAAAGGTTGAGAAACACTAGTCTAGGCTGTCCTATATCTATTGAATTACAGATTCTGACCACAAACTTGTCTTATGTACTTACTTACTGTCCTAGTTCCCCTAGCTCTTGGCCTAAAAGGCTCTAAATCTCCAGACTAATAGCTTACTGCTCATCACTGAGATGTCTGCCTTGTTTTCCTGCTAATAACTGCTAGTGCTACGTTTGTTGTCTATATTGTAACACAAATACCGTTTTGCAAATGCTAATAGGAGTGGGAACAGCCTATGTTCTGGCACAGAGCACACTGATTGTTCCTCTGACCAATTTCTCACTGCAGCAATTTCCCAGCATACACTAGCAACGCCTCATGTGCACCAATATGAAGAGGTATTGGCGTGTTAGTGCAGACACCTCAAGATGACCACATATATCATCAGTTATGCTCTAGCACCTCAAATATACAAATATTGACTCTGCTAGGCCTTCCTAGGCCTTTCTATATGCTAGTTAGGCCACCCATCATATGAAGAGTTGGGGGGATCAGGAGGGGGCAAAACCAAGCACAGAGCTTTGGCTTAGGTACCACCAGGAAAATCTAGAATACAACTGAGACCAGCAAGATACTGCAAGATACGGAAGCTTGGCCCAGTGGGAGATTCCTCCATCCACACAGTTTAGCATAGATGGAGGGATCTGTTGCACTTTTTCCATCTGACCATAGGAAATCTGCAGATAATCTATAGGTGTATGGCCAGCTTTAGAAGAGAAGCATGAAGACCGAACATGTTTATATTTCAAATCATACAGAAAATGAAAAGCAAACATAGCAATGATGTTCATATGGACTAATAGGCAAATAAATGATGACATGACGTGTTCCTCATTTCATTCTTGCATTTATAAAATACAAAAGTGGTGAAAACTGAACAAAACGTGGCGGTGTGTGCGGGCTATTCCTGCCATTGCTACAGTGTGGATTCAGACCTCTTGTGTTTCCTGCAGGTGAAGAGAGAGGAAGCAGAGGGGGAAAGGTGTGTGGAGCTCTACCTAGTGGCTGATTACGCTGAGGTAAGGCCATTCTGTTTCTCATGCTTTCTTGATCACAATTTTTGCTTAACCCTTTTGTGAGCAGAGTTTTTTGAAGCTTAGATGTTCAGACCAAGTTTGGCACGTTTAGCAACTTGACAATAACTCTGTTAAACTTTAACAGTGGGTTTTAGAACTAGGAGCACGAACTGCTGCACATTCCTAGTTCTCTGGTACATGGTTAATTAACGTTCTAATGCCAAGAGTCATTTTACATTTGTATTGCAGCCACAAAGGGGTTAAAGCAACAGGTTTCCTCTAATGCTCGGTCACCGTACTGCACATACCCACCATTTTTTTCTTGTTCGTTTCCCTACAAATCTGTTCAGTCACCGGAAGGGAGGACAGGAAGTCTATGTAAGCTCCAAGTCCCTGTAGTCAGAGCTTATGCAGGACTGACATCTCATTTTCCACCCTCATTTGAAGGGACTGGACCAATAACCAAAGCTGTCACATAAGAGAAAGCGGAGTGAATCACTTGATCCTCCTTGCTGGATGTCCTCTTAAAGGGAATATGGATCAGGCACATTACAATACTTGCCCTGAACTCCAATGTTTGTCATGAGATAAGCAGTGTTGGCTATGCCTTCCAGGGAAGCTCTTCTCTTTCCCCTTACCTTCTCTGTTTAGATAGACAGGAATGATCTGCCACTCCATGCTTATGTTTTCTGGGATCACTCTGCAGTTAGAAGTGCCAAAGGGCTGTTGGATTGTATGTGCGCATCCCTCTACCTTCCTATATCTGTGCATAGAGCAATGGTGATATCCAGTAAAGCTGGCCACCAAAAAGTAGTAGGTACATCTGAAGGAGCATGTACAAACAGACTGTAACGCGTGTAATCAATTTAACAGAGAGTATGTTTGGACTATGTGAGATATTAAGTGAGATATTGGCCATTAAAGGAGAACTATGAGGTGAGTGCTTTTCACTCACCTCATAGTTCTAGCCGACCTGTGACAATGAGACAGGTCGGCTTAGTAGATCGGGAGGTGAGCGAACACATACCGGCGTTCGCTCACCTATCGATCCTGTCACGGCTCTCTGCCGTGACAGGGGAGGGGCTGGATTCCCCCTGTGCTGACTGGCGGAACAGACGGGGAGGGGGCGGGTACAGCTGGCTCTGCCTCTAGATAGGCAGAGCCAGCTGTCAGTCACGCAGCTGGGTGGATCCAGACATAATTGTCGGGATCCGCTTCAGCTGCGGCGTCTCAGTATACCGCGAGCAGCAGCTCGCGGTATACTGAGCCTAGGGTGACGGGAGGACGCTAGTTTGTGTCCTCCCGTTACCCTAAGGAGAACTATGGGGAAAAGCCTTAACCCCCATAGTTCTCCTTTAATGTAGTAAATAATCTGAGCTTTGAAAATGATTACTGGATATGAGGGATTAACTAATCTGCTCTTTGGTAAAAGTACTCCATAGTGTCAGTTCTCCATTCTGGCCCCTGCCCAACAACGAGATTACAATCGTTCGTATTAAATTAACATAATGCAGAAATGAATCAGACGGTGTGTAAATATGTCCACAGGGGTGTGGGTGATCTTGGGAATGGTGCCAGGGGTATATTGCCTTCTAAGCCATTTAGCGGGATCAATGGCATGTTGCGTGTTTCCTGGGGCTGACTGCTATATATTTGAAGTGGAGCTCATTTATTGATTTCCTCTCATTTTCTCAGTTTCAGAAACTTGACTCAGACTTGGAGCAGACCCAGAGGAAGATGCTGGAGGTTACCAATTATATAGATAAGGTAGGAATTTTAATAAACGCCATGCTGTATTGTCTGGTCGTTAAAACACACTACTGGTACTTAGTAAGGAAGATCTCATACACAGGTGTCAGAATACGTTGCTGGTGGGCATGGCAGAAAAAAAATTGCTGAGCCACATAGAGAGTACTTGTATTTGCACAAAGGTTGAAATGAATGCAGACATTGGAGTCTAACCTCACTGGTTGTGTTCCTGGGCACTTGGAATGGTGCTCAAGCATGGAGTGGTGTGGGCACCACTGACACATAGTGGTTGTAGAATTAAACAGTATCATTCAGTGTCAGCGGACTGGCATTGTTACTTTTCATTGTGGGACTGGTATGTTTGGGCACAGAGGCTTCAAACACCAGATAAGGTAAGTATGCTGTGGCAGGCGTTAGTTCAGTGGGATTAGAATAAATTGGCGTTAAGGTAGACCCTGTAGCTCACCAACCTCCCTTTTATTTTCTTCTCCTCCTACCTCCAGTGCTAACCTTTTAACTTATATGTACAGCACCACCCTCATGGGTCTTCAGCAGTACACCTATGACCCTTCTCCATCTGTCATTTTAGCAGACCACAACCCTGGATCTGTTACCTCACCAACCTCCCTTTCCTCTCCCTCAACCCACTGCCTTGTCAACCTATCTGTAAAGCAATAATGGCATCACCCTCATGCCCCTTCCCTATCTTACATGCTGGCCTCCCAAACTTTCTTCTCTTTTCTACTACCAACACTGACCTGTTAAATCTGTATGCTGCTGTAAGGAAGGTTCAGTACATACCAGAAGACCAGTACATGCTCAGGCACGTGCATGTACTATGGCTCATGGCCCTGTGTACAGAATCATACGTGCATTAGCCGGCAGGTACACATGTATTAGCGTCCATGTGCGCAAGTATTAGCAATCATAATTCCTTGTTCCTGATTTGGTACTCCCCTGCCTGGCTGTTACTGACCTTGGCATAAAACACCAACTGCACACCTGTTACCCGTTCTGGTACTCCAGTATTCTGGTGTTCAGTCCTGGTCCTGCAACCTATGGTCATCTGGTCCATACACCCGTGTCTCTACGCACATCTGGTCCAGCCTGCAACACCGGCACTGGTGCCACTCTGTGTCCTCCCACTTTCTGTCACCACTTCTAGGAGGGGTGGGGGCCTGGAAACATTGTGATGAACATAATCCTTTCACTGAAAGGATATCCCATAGTGCAAAAAAGTTTCACAGTGGATCTGCTGTTTATGTATAACATCATTGCTGACATATTACTGACTGGAGTGGTGTCCTGGCTCTGCAAACCTCAAGAAAGGTAAGTCTTAGCTTACTTATTTTCCAAGTATACATGTTTCAATGTATTTGTGTTAATGACCAGGTCATAATACAAATAAAATAAAAGCAATGGAAACAACACTTATGGTTTGCAAAATCCAGTGGCTCATATCAGCCAATCAGATTGCAGTTTAAGTGTAAAAGAAGCATCAGATCAACGAAAGATGAATACTAATGGACTTCTAAGGCATGGATAGTGCACTATGCTCATGTCTCCATGTCTCACATGAATAAGCCCATGTGTAGTAAAGAGACTAAAATGCACAAGTCAATATCTATATTAAGTTGCTTTATTTATTATAGTTTTACAGAACACTAAGGATTCGAATTGCAGTGGTTGGGTTGGAGATCTGGACTGCTGGAGATAAGTGCAATGTCTCAGAAAACCCATATATGACCTTACGTGCCTTCCTATCCTACAGAAGAAAGATCCTACAGCATACGCCGCACGACAATGCACAGCTAATAACGTGAGAACATTGTGACGTTACTGTGACAGTATGGTCCTTGTTTAGTGCACAGTCAGAATGATAAGTTCAACAAGTGAAAATAGCATCAGTAATGTTAATGGTGAACTCCAGACAAATATCTAAATACATCAATGAAATACATATATAGGAGCTGTTTTTCCTGCCAACAAATTTGTATTTCTGTTAATCCAGTCCTAAGATTTACACAGCCCTCAAACAAAGCACAGCCCTCTATGAAAGGACAGGAAACCTGATCTTAATCTTCTGCAGTTCAGTAATACTTACAGGTCTGCTTGCCCTCCTATCCTATAATTGGTCACCTAAAAGGGGAAGCAGCAGACAGTTGAGCTCCTGTCTCTGTCACTCTTCTCTCTCCTCCTATCAGTATGCTCTTGGCACTGCAGCACAACTGATTGGCTGCTTGTGCTGCTTCTCCTTTCCCCTAGTCTGTTCTTTGCTGTACAGTGAATTGCAAGAGGCTTATACCATATTTAGGTACTTGCACTGCTTGTATTTAAAAATACAATTAAGGAAGCATTGATTTATACAGAGCTGCATTAATGTGTGTCTTTTAGATCTGCTTTAAATTCAGCTTTATGATGCATTCAATATCACTAGCCTTTCCTATAAGCTGAAGTGCCAGCAGTTCTTAATATTGCTTGGACTTGTCTTTTTCTAGTGCGGTCGTAATCAATTGCTAGGTCTGCTGCCCTTTTCATAAAGGACAATTAAATTAACCCATGTCAGGAGGTCTAAATAAAAGGTCTCTATATAAAGGACAGCCTGACAGATGAACACAGCTAGTGTGCAATGTGTTCATTTTTTGATGTTATACACTGCTTCTTCATTTGTGATTATTATTATTATTATTTTAGAGTCATTGTTATGTTATTGTCATGAGTTGAAATACTGTTAACTGCAGTTCATGTTTTGTTCCTGCAGAGGGCGATCTTTTCATGGTACTACTATTGGGCTGGCCCCACTTCAGGCAATGTGCTCTTCCTATCAGTCTGGAGGTGTGAATATGGTAAGTGAATCTGATTTAATTTTTGTGAACCAATATGACAACACTAGCTGCAGATGAGCTGTGCAGTCAGTTTGCTAGATACTGCTTCAAGAAAACTTCCAGATTAGGTATAAATAGAAGTACCACATACCCTATGTACTTACCTCCCCATACTCCTTTATTTTTTTTTAGCCAAACTGGAGATTTTCTTTCAGTGATGTCAATATGTTCTTGCAGAGTGATATACTGCAACATTGTGAATGGAATTGTGAGTTGTAAAGGCACAGCATACAATATGCCCGCTTTTTACAATGTAGCATTAGTGTGTGTGGTTTGTTTTATTTACTGTCACATGTATTGGTAGATGGTATTATTTCAAACAATGTATCACCTAATGTAACCTTCTTATACTCTTGTAGGATCATTCTGACAATGCAATTGGAGTTGCAGCCACAATGGCTCATGAAATGGGACACAATTTTGGCATGAATCACGATGCTGCTGGCTGTTGTACAGCCAAACCTGAAGATGGAGGCTGCATAATGGCGGCTGCTACTGGGTGAGTCACTAATTCCTATGTGGTACGGTGACTTTAGATATTTATATAATGTTATTATAACATTCGCCAGACCTAAGGGAACAACCTCATGCCAACCCAGCAATACGATGCTCAGGCAAGGATCAGGGGGTGGTTATGATTACGTCTCTTGTCGGAAGCAATTGTTATCATATATGCCTTGGCCTGACCATGCAAATCTCCATGTAACCTGGTCTTCTCGAGGAGAAGAGGAAATTAAATTACTAAAAGAGCATGCTTTGCGTCAACCAGTGAATCACAGGATAAACAACAGTGGTGCTCAGCATTCAAGGAAAATGGGCAGATGTCTTCCCATTGTCCCACTGTAACTACTTCATAATAATATGTTACCTAATTTGGTATATTGGAAATGCCGCAGACTGCATGTGCCACCTAGCTACTCCATAGCAGCTAATGCTGCCATTATATGACTATAATTGCCTGCCAAATCTATAAAGATTAGTTTTGGGTGTGGCTAGATATTTCAATGGCTCCGTACTGGAATGCAAGCAAGGTAAATGCTTTTAGAAGTTACGTACAGGCACCCATAGGTGCATATACTCTATGTACCGCTAGTAAATCTAGAGTGGACCACAACCCACTGCATTCTTCCCATATTGACTTGAGAAGGGATGTTTGGCACTTTTAACCTTCCTTCCCACCACACAAGTTTTCTTGTTGATATGCTAATGACCAAAAATCTTAGAAGGAGTCATCATTCGCATAATATAATAATAATTTAAAGGAGTGCGAGTGACTATATGGTATTTTGCATTTGCATAATAGGGCACACCATATTTTGGTGCTGTCTAGTGTGCAAAATAATTATTAATGGTATGTGCAGGTATCTGTGTGTTCTGGGCTCTGCACACCTTCTGTGCTCATTATGAGGCCCTTGATGATTTTTTATTATTTATATTATTGAGAATGCAAACAGAGGGCTGAAACTCAAAAAGGTAGACCAGAGTAGAGAATTATGGCAGATGGATCTCCTTGTTGGAGTATTCAAGACATACACGTAGCCAAATGCTCTTCAGTGGACTGCACCTTTACATTATTTTCGAGCTGTATCTTCTTTAATGGGCTGTATTGAGTTCTGCTTTTAGATGACAAGCCCTGGCATATGCCATCGAAGGCAAGGATGTGCCGTGTCTATTGGGTACTGTGCTGTAGGAAAGAAAATAATTAAGGTATTTGTCAATGAAAATAAGTTGAGATGAAACTGTTGACTGTTTTGTGTTTGCAGACACCCTTTCCCTAAAGTGTTCAATGATTGTAATAAGCGAGAGTTGGACCGCTTCCTGCGCTCTGGAGGGGGGATGTGCCTCAGCAATACCCCAGACACAAAGACCCTTTATGGAGGAGCACGTTGTGGAAATGGCTTCTTGGAAGAGGGGGAGCAATGTGACTGTGGGGATATCGAGGTATAATATACTACATTCTATGGATGCAATCATTGGCTCTCCATCCCTTCTAGAATCCTTGCATAGCCTGCTAACATACATGGACATGTTGTTTAAAGGGAATGTAAAGTGCATTTTTAGTGAGTATATATTTTGTGTTAGTATTACAGTGTAACTCCTCGAAGTGGAACCAGGAGAAATCACCAGGAGGTAGAGTTTTTCAGCAGAAAAGGCACGCAGAGTTTATTTTGCTGAAAAACAGTTCCCATGACTCCTGGTGCTTTTTTTTGTCTTCTGTGTACAATGCACGGCACATACGGCATGCATTGTACTTACCGACTGTTCTTGGTATGCTGAGAATAGAGCAAGGTGCTGGAGACAATGTAACTCCTTTGCTTATGCAACTGTAAAAGAGAAGTGCATGTAGAATATAATATATCCTGCTACTTCGAGCCAGTGTGGGATACTGCAGATGTTATGTGCTGACTATATACTGAGAGCTAAGTGGTCATGCAACCATTGATTGCTCAGCTCACAGTCTCTTCTCCATGCAGAGAGCAGTGATTGTCAGTGAGTTCCCCGCAGGGATCCCCCCTCCCCTCCCTGTTCCTCAAGCGCTCATTGGAGGGACAGACAGGGGAGGGCACAGCTGGTTCTGGCTCAAGAGACAGTCAGCTGTCACTTAGGTAGCCAGGGTGGATACCAACAATATTGTTGGGATCCTAACCAGTTGCAGTGTGGCTCTGTGCTGTCAGCAGATAGCAGGAATTAGCCCACTATCTGCTGACATTTATTAATGTACTCCTCTAACCCAAAGAGAGGTGAAGCCAAAAAAGACTTTTGCTTTACCCCTCTTTTAATAATAATACCTAATAGTTCCTCTTTAGGCACATTTCTAATTTGTATCACTTTATCATATATCCAGCCATCTGTTGGTTCTTTTTGCTTCCTTAACTCTATCTCCCACACTTTCTGTCCTCCAGCAATGTGACAATCCATGCTGCAATGCTTCAACCTGTACCCTGCTGCCAGGGGTGGAGTGTGCCCATGGGACCTGCTGCCATCATTGCAGAGTAAGACATCTCTACTTTGTTATTCACGGAAGAAGAAATACTGTGTCCAGCTGACAAACACAACTAACCGCTTATTGTATGATGAGTACATAAATAATGTGACCTAATGTAAACCACATGCTTACAATAACCCCTCGCTGTTACATTCCTGCTTAGCTCAGGCCACCTGGGTTCCCGTGCCGGAAGACATCCAGAGCTTGTGACCTGCCAGAGTTTTGTACCGGACATTCTCCTGTGTGTCCTCCCAACTCCTTCCAGCTGGATGGAACTTCCTGCCAAGACGAAAAAGCTTTCTGCTACAACGGGAGGTGTCTGACCCACCAACAACAGTGCCGGCAGCTCTGGGGAACCGGTGAGCTAAGCCAGAGAAACATGGCCCCTTGTGACATCTATATCATCAAGATACATTCATTTGTCAGCACACACACAGTACACTTCTACATCACTTTTTATTATCCTTTTCTATATTTCTACTGTTTATTAGATGAGTTAAACCCAATTATATAAATCTATAGCAGTAAGGAAGAACATGTGTATGGGTCAGATAGCTGACGTCCTCTGATTAGGATTTTTGCATGGTGTTATAGGATGCTATTCAGATTACATGACATTTAGATGACCACTAGAGCAAACATTTAGAAATCTATATTAAAAATTCATCAAATAAAATATGTAACAGCAGGAAAGTAAAAATGAGAAAGTCACTCACTGTAAGGTATATTATTATTATAATACAGGATTTATATAGCGCCAACAGTCTGCACAGCGCTTTACAAAATAAGGGAGACATAACAATACAATTCAAGACAAGATGGCAAGGAGGGCCCTGCCCATGAGGGCTTACAATCTAGAAGGGAGGGGAAAGTGATACAAGAGGTGGTAGGCGTGTGTGGATGAATGGCTTGAGAAAGTGATAGTTCAATGGTTAGGTTGAGGTGGGATCTGCTTCCCTGAAGAGATGAGTCTTAAGGGATCGCCTAAAGGCAGTCAGAGTGGGAGATAGAGGGACAGGTTGGGGTAAGGAGTTCCAGAGGATGGGAGAGACTTTAGAGAAGTCCTGGAGGTGAGCATGGGAGGAGTCGACGAGGGAGCTAGAAAGCCGGAGGTCTTTGGAAAAGAGCAGGGGACGGTTAGGGTGAAACTTTGAGACAAGGTTTGATGTATATGAAACTCTGAGTACTTACTGAAAATACATTATAAAATATATTTTATTAATATTATTATACAGGATTTATATAGCGCAAACAGTTTGTGCAGTGCTTTACAATATAAAGGAAGACATTGCAATACAATGCAAGACAAGAGGGTTAGGAGGGTCCTGTCCAAGAGAGCTTACAATCTAAAAGGGAGGTGAAAGTGATACAAAAGGTGGTAGCTGTGTCAGGATGAGTTGTTGATTGTGTCCCCATTGGAGAGATTCCCCTCATATCTGTCCCAGGCTCACAACAGGATGTCAGGGGAAATCTCCCAGATGAGAAAATGACAAGAAGTAATGTGCATGGACTCTACAAATACAGTACAGGTCTTTCACAAGTGCCATTTGTATGCCCAACAGGAGCAAGCATTGCCCCGGATGTGTGTTTTCAAAAGATTAATGCCGCCGGAGACCAATATGGCAACTGTGGACGAGACATAAATGGTGAATATCGGAAATGTGAAGATGGGTGAGTTAGGTATATTTTTTTTGTACTGTTTATCGGGTCATCTACTGGACCATTTTAATACATCTATTTTTACCCCCATGTAGGCATTTCAAGTGTGGAAAGATCCAGTGCCTAAGCTCCTCCTCCAGACCCATAGAGCACAACGCCGTGGCCATAGACACCACAATCACGGTGCAGGGGAGACGTGTGCTCTGCAGGGGGACACATGTTTACAGAATGACTGAAGAGGAAGATATGATGGATCCCGGCCTAGTCCTTTCTGGTACTAAATGCGGAGAAAACCAGGTCAGGCCAACATTTCAAAAGCTTTCATTATGCAAATATTTGAAATTCCATGTTGTTTTGCTCATTGCAACCAATAGGATTATGCCTGTAACTCTCCTGGGGTGTACATTTCTGGGAAGTCTCAGTTCTCATTGATCTGCCAGAAATCCAGTGAACTCCTAACCTCTAGTAAATAGCTGACAACAGCAAATATAAATAAATGTAAGAAAATATTGCATCCACCACATCTAAGGGCTGGTAAGCTGCAATATATTACATTTTCAGTTTTGGGTTTAGATCTACTTTAATCAACATAGCGCAGGTTCAGTTAAGTATAACAACACTTAGCTACCAATCATATTTCAGTAGGCTTGAAAAATCAGACAGATGAAAGATGCTGATTGGCTGTAGTGCTCTAGTGCATTTAAAGCTGGCCATAAATCATAGGAATTTTAGACGGTCCTTCAGGAAATGGCCGCAAATCGCACAGTAGGTGACGCTGCCGCCACCCTTCTGGCTGACATCCCTCAATCAGCTGATTAAAGGAGCCGGTTGGAAAATCTCTGAACGAACAGAGCCAGCAGCCAATCGGATTGAAAGGAAGCAGCCGGGGGATTTCTCATAAGCGTTGATGGAGGACTCCATTCTATTGTTTTTTCATCAGCCCATGGGTTGAATGAAAAAAATAGAGCTTTATACATTGCTCTTTGCCTTACTAAACACAAGCCAGAGTGTGTGTTTATGTGAAATTGGGTCACTTACCTACTCATTCCCTTTTCTCCAGATTTGCTTTGAGGGACAGTGCCGAAATACCTCCTTTCTTCAATTGGACGAGTGTACGAGAAAGTGCAATGGAAATGGGGTGAGCGTCTAACCAAACTCACTTGCTGAGTGACATTTATAATAGTTTTGGATTATTCTGCCTCTTCAATCTAAGCATTGAAAGTGTGATCTCTATAACTTACAGTTGTGGCGAGATAGCAATAACTGACAATCTTAGCTGCATTGGCAGAGAGTGACTCGATCCAGAAGACACTTTGAAGATCGTTGAGAAGTTTAATCCAAAACTGTGAGGATCTTACAACAGTGAACATCAGATAGGTCAAAAGTGATCCACTCAACAAAATGACATGTGCTGAGATGGAAAACTGGACCAGAATGAGGAAGGGTGGAGCTATCTATACAGAGGAAAACTCAGCTATAGGGAGGGGAAGAAAGAAACACCAGGGACAGATGAAACACATACAATATTCAAAGGCATATCACAATGCATGTGAAACATGACATGGATGGAGTGAAGAGGGATTAGAACTTCTGTCAGGTTTTATTGCTATCTGTGCCAGCGCCCCCTACAACCTCCCTCCTTCTACGCTGCAGCTTTGGAATATTCCTCAGCGTCCTCATGTCTATACACAGCGTATAGAACGTGATGGTTCTATAGCGGAGGAGGAGAGAACAAGCCGGCCCGTCAGTTCAGGTGAATATGACTTTTTTTAACCTGGTCAAAAATGATCTGTTAACCGTTGCAATGTGGGGGTAGCCTCACTGTAAGTGTTAAGAAAACATTTTTGTCCTTAAAACATCTCTGCTGCCAGCTAGCGGACTACTGTTTTATATTATCTGTCATTTTTGCCGAAATATGGTGTCTGCCACAGATGGCCTATTTTTGAAGGTGAAAAGTCTATGACTGCCATCCTCATCCTTCCTTCACTACTTTCATTGCAATGCATTCATATTAGGTGTCCTTACACTTTCATGGGTGCATGCTTGCACTGGGTCATTATTATGATTATTCTGACAAGCAGTCTTTGACAAGAAAGATAAGGGCGATAGCCTTGTTGCTTATTGGTTTTTGGAAGCAAGTCAGGGATGGAAAATTCCATGTTGCTTTGCTGATAGGTTCTCTTTAAAAATCTGATCAAATAATTGCAGCCTTGAAACTGGACTTGCTTCTCTGTTTATTAGGTTTGCAATAATAACCAGAACTGTCACTGTCGACCTGGTTGGAAGCCTCCGTATTGTAACCAGACAGGAAATGGTGGCAGCATAGACAGTGGACCGGTACCTACTGAGGGTGAGTGTTCTCTTTTCCATCTGGATGGCAGGGGGTATGGTGCCCAGAATTAAGGGTCATTCCTGCAGTTAGGCAAGGTGAGAAACTTGTGGTGGCCTGTAAAGCTTGAGCAATGATTTTCATCTTTAGTCCTGACTGTTAGCTATCCTGGTAGCCACTGGAGAATCCATATTAGTGCATTGTTTTACCAGACTTTATCTGTACAATTTTAGGGGCATCGGAAATGGGTGGGGCTTAGTGTGGGTGGAAACAACAAAGAGAAAACCACTCCAACGGGAACCTTGTAAACTAACCCAAATTTATTACATTTCTTCTTATTTCTAGGTGCACAGTCTGTTGTACTTTGGATATTTCTCTCTATATTACTGCTAGCTGGGTTAGCAGTCAGTGCGTCCGCATACCTTTATAGATGCAGGTGCCTGAGCAGATTCCTCAAATCAGACACTGGTCCTGCAGCTGGCTATCTGCACACCAGGTAAATTACCTTTCATTTTATATTGTTTGCTGGGGCCTACATACTACTTGCTCATTCCCCTGACATGGTGATATGAAATATGAGAACAAACACTTTTAATGAGCAACACCTGGAAGGGCAAGACCATTTAAAACTGAACTTCAGGTATACAAACACCATTTAATTCTCTCTTTTTCCGGGAGGAAGGAGCAGCACTGTGAGCCACTCAGGTTCTGCAGCACTGCTAAGCTTATTTAGTGCAACAATTGGGATCTGAAGGAGAGAACAGAGTGCTGGCCACTTTGGTGTGATGTTGCTCCATCATTGATCATCATCATGTTACTGATTGAACAATCAGTAGGTTTGGGTTGTAGAGACTATCATTTGTTAGTGTTTTGGGTTTTGGTCAATGACAGTAAACACAGGAGTATAAACTCACTTTTTATTCTTTTCTGAACAGTGACAGCAGTGATAAGTGCAAAATCGACCCTACCTCCAGGCACAGACCGCAGACCACAGTGGTAAGATCCCAGCTCATTTTGTGGTGCTTTCATAAATCTGGTGCAATAGGAGGATGCTAGCTTTGTAGAGGTATACAAGTGAATACCTGGGCGGAAACTGCATTACAGATAGCCAATAACACTTCCACCAGGTATCGAGAATTCCTTACATACACTATATTACTAAAAGTATTGGGACACCCCTCCAAATCATTGGATTCAGGTGTTCTGTGTAATTTCTTTGCTAATAATTATTCCATGGTCAACTGTTAGTGGTATTATAAGAAAGTGGAAGCAACTGGGAACAACAGCAACTCAGCCACGAAGTGGTAGGCCAGGTAAAATGACAGAGCGGGGTCAGCACATACTGAAGCGTACAGTGTACAGAAGTCGTCAACTGTCTGCAGAGTCAATAGCTACAGACCTCCACACTACGTGTGGCCTTCAGATTGGCACAACAACAGTGCGTAGAGAGCTCCATGGAATGAGTTTCCATGGCCGAGCAGCTGCAGTCAAGCCTTACATCACCAAGTGCAATGCAAAGCGTCAGATGCAGTGGTGTAAGGCACGCTGCCACTGGACTCTAGAGAAGTGGAGACGTGTTCTGTGGAGTGACCAATCAAGCTTCTCTGTCTGGCAATCTGATGGACATGTCTGGGTTTGGCGGTTGCCAGGAGAACGGTACTGGCCTGACTGCATTGTGCCAAGTGTATAGTTTGGTGGAGGGGGGATTATGGTGTGGGGTTGTTTTTTAGGGGTTGGGCTTGGCCCCTTAGTTCCTGTGAAGGGAACTCTTAAGGCATCAGCATACCAAGACATTTTCGACAATTTTATGCTCCCAACTTTGTGGGAACAGTTTGGGGATGGCCCCTACCTGTTCCCACATGACTTTGCTTGATAAACCGGTTGTTCCATTTACCTATGAAACTACAAAACATCATGATCATGTGTGGACATTTCTTGATCTTTAAGTTGAATTTTAAGAAGTCATACATAAATGTAAGTAATCAGACCACATGGAAATAGTTCAGATTCAGCGCATTTATAGAGTTTTTAAAGAAAGTGATAGCAAATAGAATAGTTTTTGAGATTCTATCTTTCATCAACTTTAGAGCAATTATTGAGAATGACCAAAAAGTCAAATTGAAGAAATAAAACAAACAGCAAATTTGTGTGACATCATTGTGAGAAAATAATCCAAACTATAACCAAAACTACGGATCAGATCTGGAATATGAAATATTAGAACGCTGAAGCTCTAGTTAATCTGAAAAGAATTTGTGGAGCTGTCACTCAAATGAAACACCTTTACCAAACAAAGACATGGGTTGCTGTGCACAGATATCATTCTGTTGTACAGGTTTAAGGATAAACCGGGTAAACAATTGATTTTATTTTTACTGTCCTTCTACAGGGCTCAAAAAGTCCAGTCAGTTTACAGTCTAACCACAGGACAGCAGATCAAAGGTCTCCATCCAGTCATCATCCTCAAAGCAGACAGTTAGATGGTGGATCCACACATACCGCATCTCCAGTAAGAATGCCTCCACCCAGCAGACCAGCACCACCTCCTCCACCTCAACCACCTCCAAAGGTAAAGCTAAGCTACAGGAAAGCTAGTGGTGATGAATATGAGGCCCCATTAACAGGAACCTACAGATTCTTGTGGCAGGAATCTCAGGTGTCCTGTTCAGATGTGGCTGCTGTACATCTGTCAGCGGCAGTCCAACAGCTTCCACTTACCCTCCCTTTATATTCTTTAAATCTGCAGGTAACGCGGACTGAGAGTTGAACAATTCCATGCTTGCATGGCCTTTAGCCATAGGTCCCAATAGGGAAGGGGTCTACTTGCAAGCCTTAACACAACCAAAAGTGATATTTTTGTTCTAGAAGGGGCCTAATAGGCTGAATCTGCCTCTGGCTTCTTATATAATTAAGATATTAAGATAAGATAAGATCATTAAGATAAGATCTCCCTGGTATAATTCCCAATTCTGTTCCTGTCCACCTGAGAATTTTGTGTGTTCCTGCTCACAGCTGCATGTTCAAGCATCGCTGGTTGCATTCTTCATAGTATAAAATATAATCAGTGGGACACCCTTATTTAACTGCCACGGCAGATGTTTCAAATTTGTGAAGTTAGAGCAGAGATAGAGATCAATAGAGTTCCTGATAGATATAAGGAATTGTTAGGTGGTTCAACTATGCAACATTTTTCAAAAACTGGAATATCACTTTTGGGTGCCTTATCCTTCACCAAACAAGACAACTTTACCTAAAATTGATATCTCAGTTGCTGTCAAGTCTCTTTGGAACAACATACAGTATCTCCAATAGAATTTTTCCATTCAGTCAAGCTGTGCCACCCATTAAAGAGGTACTGAACCCTGGAAACTGTGCCCAAAAAAAGACAGGCAGGGGACAAAGGACTAGTTGCCAGTATTGCCTGTGGTCTCCCTGCAGCTGATCATTTCCCTATTACTGACTTATCATGCCTTGTTCTGCAATGTGTCTCTCTGTGGAGGCCACCATCTTGGTAGACGCAGGGTTTTGCTTCCTCATGTCTGAGCCTCCAACAAGGAGACCAGTAAGGAGAACAATAGTGAAATCTCACCCCAAAGATATACATCTATAAGGCTGTAGGAGAGCCTAAGGCCTAGGCACACTCACGTTCCAGAAAGTACACTGTTATTTTTCAGAAGGAATTGCAGACAAAAGATACAATAATTGTACTTAGGCATAATTACCATTTCTAGATGTTTCCTATAGCATAACAAATCTTGTTTTTTGAGTTTAGGTATAATCTGTAGTAGGGTTGGTGTTTACACGCATTGCGGGGAATTTATCAAAACTGGAGCAGAGAAAATCTGGAGCAGCTGTACATGACAACCAATCAGCTTCTCTCTGTGATTTTCAAATCTTAACTGAACCATCTGAAGAGAGAAGCTGATTGGCTGCCCTGGGCAACTGCTCCAGATTTTTTTCTGCTCCAGTTTTGATAAATTACCCTCAATGTTTTTATGTCATTGATGTTTTAAAAAAAAAAAAAATGAGTTCAAATTCTTCTTATTTTTTGCAGGTATTGCAACCCCCCAAAAGAGCGCCACCTCCCCTACCGCCAAGTAGGATGCGGCACACTGCCAAGTGACACTTTAGGACTGAGACTACAGAGGGAAAAAGAGTGCGTGACTCCGTAATGGGGACTAAACAGGGCAACACATGTGTCTTGAATGGAAAGTCCGGAACAGATGTTCAACATCAGACGTCAGTAAAACATGAAGATTTTCTGTCCAAGATTTTGGCCATCACCTAGACATACTGAAGGCAGCTATGCTGTGCTGTGTTGGTGATGTTAATAATGCACTGAATGGTTTTCTCAGTTGTGCTTGGGTAATGTGCACTGAGAAAAACTATAGACTAGTCAGTGCTACGAAAACAGCAGGTCGGGAGATCAAGATGGATTTTATTAGTATGGAGAGAAAACAAATCATGAGTCTGTTAATGGCAGTATTGGGAGAGGACAGCAACAATGATATTCTTGATACATCATATCACAAGTTAGCAGAATCATAAGGTGCCAGTAGTTAAAGGGTCAGTCCAACCAAAATCCATATTTCCATATTCAGATTTAAGTGGATGCTGGAGAAAGAAATCACTTAACACTTCCTTACATCTCTGGGATTAAAAACGAATTTTAGGCAGATTTAAAAAATATTGAAATATGTATTTATTAAAAATATTAAATGTATTTTAAACGTTATCAGCGTAAATACCTGAATTTGACTTGATTTTAGCCTCTAGTATAGCAGCATTCAGGTTGGGAGAGGGAGGGGCAGCACTTGGGCTCAGTAGGGCATCCCGCATTGACATGTGCTGACAGAAAGAGGAAGCAGAGAGATAACCTTATCAGTCTGTTGCTGCTCCTCCACATTCAAGGCACAGGCTGTGGGTAGTGTGGTGACCAAGCAATGTTGCTTAAAGTAATATTAATCGCTCAAACATTTATACCATCATGAATCCAGATCAAATAAATATACGAAGCAAAGTATTTCTTTACATTTTTGCACAGTCTTCATGTTTTGATGACTGGGCAAACAGCTGGCTCCAACTGAATTTCCTGTCCAATACAAGATCACAGGTACAGAAGGGAAGGTATGGAACAGTCTCCAGCAGCTGTCCATCTACTAGCTTGGAGGAGCAGGGAGCAGACCAATGGCTTGCTTTGCCGTGCCTGTGTGTTTGTGGAAACACGCATAGCTTACTAGCATAAACAAGGGTGGCTTCATAGGACCCTGCTAGGGGAAGGAGTGACCCTAAAACAGGATATCCGGGCCAGTTCTCAGGGGACCAGCTGTTTCTGCAAGAAACCAGACCGTTGAACATCAAAACGTAGCGCCCATTCTAAGTGATTTGATCAGCATTTCAAATAGCTTTAAAGCATTTTGACTTTAATATCACTTTTAAACTTATGTCCAGGAAAAAAAATGCCATGGGCTACCTCCACCCAGCAAGGATTACCTGCTTGTTAATGTGTAGGGGACCTGTGTAAAGGACTTGATTCCCACTCCAGCGGGCTCCAGCACCCGCAACCCCTTCCCCCCTATGCTCTGGTGGTCAGAGGCTCGCTGACATCATAGACCTGCATTATATGTGGGACTCCAAAGGACAGTCTACAAGCCAGAGAGTAGGGATGACTAGGCGAGAGCCAATTGCCAGGGGAGCAGGATTCAGGAAAGCAAAAGTGCTTTACACAGCTCCTCTAAACATTAATGAGCAGTTAACCCTTGCAGGTGTTTTTTCCCCAGAGATAGGCTTTTGGTGCCTAATTGACCTACATGGCACTGTAAGCAAAGGTAGAAAAATAATGCATTTCATAAATGGTATTTATTTCCCATAGGGGCTAGTTCACACCAGCCCCAGTGCGTTCCGGCCCGATTGGTGCCGGAATGCACTGAATTGCATTCCGGCCAGCTCACTTTGTTTTGGGGCGTGGCGGTGCATTGAAGTCAATGGCACCGTAGCCATGCCTTCCGGCCCTATTGGAGAGTTTTTCCTTCACTTCCTGCTTGAACAGAAAGTGGGGGGCAATCTCCCAAGCAGGGACATAGGCTGACGCAATATTTATCCTTTACTATTAGGGATGAGCTAAGGTTAGGAGCGAACCCGGTCTGAATCGGACCTTCTCCAAACCCAGAAGGAGCCCCTCCCGAACACAGAAGGACGCTCCATTGGTGCCGCCCAATCATCTACTTGTGGGGATTTCCCCCATCCGCAGCTTGATGTAAGTAAAGACTCAGGATGCAGTGACATCATTGACCATATATGGCTGCATGCCTAAATTTGATAAATGACATTTACCTAATATGGCTGTATTTGGTAAATGATGTCAGCTCAAGCATCATGCCCCTTTTTTTCATGCAGCTGCAGGGGGAGAATGCCCGTAATGCAGCTGATAGGATGGAAGTGCCTATGGCACGTCTTGGTTCAGAGGAACTCGGGTTCAGACCAACTCTACTCATCCCTACTCCTTATATCCAAAACTAAAAAAAAAAAACGTTTTGGCTAAAGATAAGCTTCAGGGTCTATTCACACCACACAACACGTGTGCACTAACGCAGTTGCGTTGCGCTGAGTTTGCAGCACACATTTTATTGCTCTTGATGCGTATTGCTTTGCCCAGCATTGCATTTTTTTTTCATTTGCTTAGAGGTCACATCCTCCTTTTTCTTTTCATATTGCATTGCGCCGAGGTGCATCTCCGCACTTTGATGCACATTGCGCTGAAAAAAGTAGAGCATGCCCTACTTTTTTTCAGTGCAGCACAGCACGCTGGTGTGAACTGGCCTCATTGAATAAACTTTTGCTTTTTTGCCTTGTGGAATATGGGGGGAGGTTAGGGATATTAAGACTGCAACCTAGTGATAACAACAGGCAGACTTCCCCCTCTCGTTGACTACACGTAAGGCCCCATTCACACTGAGCGACATGGATATTGTGCGTATTTCAGCGCGATTTTGTGCTGAGCGGCTATGAGCTACATTGCGCGATATTGATTAACAGTGCACATTTTATCGCGCTACGTATCGCGTTTTTTGGGCGGGACTTCGTCGCTGCTACATTGGACTGTAACCAATCATCAGCGATCTTGATGTGACATCATTCTTTCCTTCCATTTTGCAGTTCAAAAGTGACCCTTATCTTGCGCGATATCACGCGACCAAGTCGCGCAATGCCGCCGATTTTGCGCGACACTATAGAGTCTATTGGAGCCGAATCGCGCGACATCCGCGGAAAAAAGGGTCATGTACGAGCGACAAGCTACAGCGACGAGCAACAGGCGATATTGAGCTGTGAGATGTGAACAGCTCCATTGAAATGCATTGGGCAAGCTACATAGAGTGATATCGCGCGGAAATCACTCAGCGTGAACGGGGCCTAATACAGGAACATTTTCGCATAGGTATAAGAAAACCCGTACATGACAAAACTATTTACAGTTATTGCACTGCTCTGGGTAAGAATACATACTTGTGTCAGGAAAGTAGATTTACTTTTTAATACATGTTTACTCAGGTGCTGATATTCTGGGGGACAATCTTCCCTACCCCCCAATACATATTATATTGTAAAGTAACAAATGTTTATGAAATAGTGTTTAAAGTTGTGTAAAATAGATATGCAATTTGACATAAATGTAAAAACTTTAGAAACTCAACCAATATAAAATATTGAATCCATAAAACACAGTGCTGTAATATAGCACTAGCTCTTTGGGAGATCACTATTCTCATTTATATTTATTCACAGCAGAATCGTGAATATAGGAATTTATAATATATATATATCTAAATTAAAATATATATTTTAGTCCAGCACAGCAGGCCAAACAACTGTGGGCATTATTAGTGTAAAGTGGTAAACTCCGCTGCTGGCAACCAATCAGGGTTCAGCTTTTTGTGGTCCACATTAGAGAAGGAAAATGTTGAACTAGTTGCTGAACTAATTTTCCTTTCCTCTGGAAAACACTCCAGATTGTGTTTCTCTGCTGCATTGACAGGCAACTGAAGCCATTTTCTTTGTATTTTAGTCTTGCATAGAGTGGAGAGAAATGAGAACACCCGCCAGGTTTTCATTGCTATCTGTGTACTTGTTAGGTAGATTCAGCCTTTTTGCCCTGTGAAGGGAAAGAAAATCTCAAATTTTGGGTTGTCACCAGAACTGGAATAGATGGGAAATCTTCCGGACAAGTTCTGGTGACCCTGCTGACCACTATTTAAAGAGATTTCCTCTCACTTCATGTTATGGTTATAGTACAGGAAGTGAAGGGAAATCTCCCCAATGAGACACAGATGGAAAAAGAAATCTTGGAAAAAGGAATTATAAGCCTCCCTTACTCTATCCAACACTAAAAGAAATACGTTCTGGCTTCAGTTTTATTTTATGTTTTTTGAATCGTGCCATGGAAACGTGATTATTTAAAGTGGCACTAAACTCAGGAGTTATATCGCTCCAAGCTCCCTCCCATGATGGACTACAATCTCAATACAATTAGTAAACTAAACACGAGATTGGATCCATCACGGAAGTGAGCTTGGAGTGGTGGTTATGTTACAACACACACAGGGACCATGGGGAACAGAAGTAACCACCCTCCAGAAGGAAGGACAGTGTCAGCACCAATTCAGAGATGATTTGAGGCTCTACAGCAGAGTGACACACAAATAAGATACATTTCTGTTTCTAGTTAAGGTACCTGAATGCAGATTTAATTCCTGAGTTTAGTATCATTTTAAATCTAAATGGTTTGGACTTGATAATATACACTTATTCCAATCCATTTAGAGAATAAGGCTGTATATGTTTTTAGCAGTTTTATTTATTAATTGGGCTTTATCATCGTCTTTTACCAGGTTTTGCTCAAATAAACCTCACTCCAGTAATATAATATTTCAGAGATATACATTCATCAGTTGGTCCAGTTATTACATTTCCAGGGCTCTTGGAGAGCTGTATAAAGCATGTAGTGTGTGTACAGGAATCTCTAGGTGCTAAAATAGATCTGCCTGCAATTTAGGGGGCCTATGGTGATCAAAGGCTGTGTGAGGTTGATGGTTTGTCCTTCCCTGGTGGAAGGTGACTTGAGCACTA